CTTAACTGACTTTGGAGAGCCAGCAAGCCCCTCTAAGCCCTTCTGAATAAAAAAGGGGGCATTTGCCCTAAAGATTTATCAGATAGTGAATGTAAGATCAGAAAGCGAGGTACAGGGCCACCTTGTGGTGAAGACTGCTGTGCAGAGTCTTCTAGGCATGGTCATTTACCAATAAGCAGAGTTTTTACTATTTTTTCATTTGGATTGGGGGGATCCATAATTAAAAAAAAAGATTCAGTACCCACTGACCCCACCCGCCATGGAGTCCTACAAGGGGCCGCACTACAATGTCAAACAAGGATACTGCAGCAATGCCAGGGTTTCACGAGCACTATACCCAAACACCAGCAGCAGACACGATGTCCACAACACCCGTTGAGAATGCCTAACACTGGTACTCAGTTGACCCTAGCCCAAGTGGACCAGCCGATTGATCCTGGGGGGCCACCCCAAGGCCACCTGTCTACAGGAATTCAAGGCCAAAGTAGTGTGTTGCAGTACCCCAGATACCACTCAACCACCAGGATCCTCTCCTCCCCTTCACGGGTCGCCACACATGGCAAACACGTGGGTGGATGTTTAGATCACAGAGGAAGGAACTGAAAATACAGAACCTTCTTTGGGAGGTCCCCTTACCACGTACAGGAATCCACGTTGAGGGGCTAGAATAGTAGATAGAGCTAGCTGCACTAGTACAGAGGGTGCAGTATGATTGGTGGAGGGTAGTCACATGATCAGCACATGTTCTGAAAGGGTGCAAAACTGATGGGGTATAAAAGACTGCTGCACTATTGGAAAAAATTTTTTAGCAATATTAGAGGGCAGTCCAGGATCAAGAGAGCTTTGGGTGAGGAGGGTAAGACTGTTTCGGAAATAATAATTTCAGACTTTTTATTATGACTAGAGGTTTATTCAGTATGTAGCATGTGATTTTTTTTCCTAATGCTAATTTCATTTATGAGAGAGAATTTACACAAAAACAAAATCTAACAATGTATGTAATAAGACAATATCTATGAAAGAGAAGTTTACTTTAAGAACAAGTAAAATCACAACAAAATAACATAACCAAGTTTTCTGTGGGAAGTTTCGTCTAAAATTCCTGAAGAATTTCCTTTCACAATCATTCAGAAGAAACAAGATATTTCCAGAATAAACTGCAGTGAGTTACATTAATTTAGAACCACACATTACGTGTATTTTATTACTGTAGCTTTTTAAATATTTTTTTCAGATCTAAAATATTATACATAGATTGCCCAAATAGTTTTGTTACTCCTTCATGGGTCAGATATGAATAACATGAGTTTTTCTGTGATTTCTAACTAGATTTTTTGTTTTATTTTCTAACAATTTAAATTACACTAACAATAAAAAGGTTGAAATTAGCAGCTCGCCAGTGAGGCACTATGTTTCACATAGAATTTCATTGTCCATACCCCTAATCTAAACAACTGAACTAAACATATTTTTTTAATCATTAGTTACATTTTAATTGTAGCAATTTGTGAGAGTGTAATAAAACAGTAAGCAACTGTTACTAAAGCTTCAATCATGATTCAATATTTTTGTACAAGGAAACTAAATGCATTCAAACAAAGAACACCAAGTGTGACAAAATGGTCCATTGTCATGCCAACAAGAGAGCTTATTTAGGTGAGCTACAGACTGTTTAATGAGGAAGTGAGTAACAAGCTCTGTAGAGACAAGAAGTGTTGTGACTCATGAACATTGATCTCAAGTTGTTGAAAATGTAGCTGTGTATAGTGTGTGCCTCACTTGTTTATAAGGTCATCAGTCATCAGTGTTATTGCCAAAACTAACATATAAAAACACAATAATTACTACAAATATATAAAAGATTACAATTAAAAAGACCAAAAGCGTTACTGATAACTTACAGAAATGTATTCATCACTACTGATTCGAAGCAGATAAGGCTGAGAGGCATCTGATGTTGGCTCAACTGTACTACCACCTAATGGAATGACTCCCTGTAAACAAATTTAATTTCAAATTAAACTTTATTTGTACTATAGTCATACATGTGTAGTAGATACTTTTCTTAAAGCAATTCATGCTAAAATCTTATTATCTCTCAATAAGAAGAAGCTATCTAAAACTAAAAATCAAACTGGTAATGAGTGCAACTAATTAAGTATTCTTTTATTACATTCTAACTTATAAAGGAATGTATTGTTTCTTCGCTGGGTATCCTCACTGTTAAGGTTATTTTCAACCATAGTTACAAGGTTGTGTTTATATTGCAAAACTAGCAAATTATTAGTATAAGTTTTCTCAGGGCATCTTACTGTATCTAATTCTTTATAAATAAACAAAATTACCAATATAAATTGTAATTTTTGTATTTTCAGAGAAATAATCTTACAAAAATAACAGCTCTCAAACAAATATTTTTCATTTTAATATTCTGTGTGATGAAAACTGAAAATACATATTTATCAGTTTCAAACGAAAAGAATTCTGATTAAAATTTCTCAGAAAGCTGGAAATTTTATCCATTATTTTTCCTAATTTTGATAATACTTCAGTTGGTTTAAGTTTATTTTGTCTACAGCAAGCTGTCTTTAGTCTTACAGTATATTGTGATATTTCATTAAACTTAGGGCCCTAAAAGAGATAACCATACATCTTTTAATTGTTGTACATCATTAAATGCATTGTTGTTACATGCATGATTACTACAAATTGCTTTTCATTTGAGACTAAAGTTCCATAGCCCAGCTGGTCTGATGAGATCTAGTACTGTGAGTAAAACATTTTGCCACCCATAGCTGCAACAAAATGAACACGTAATTGAAATGTAACTGAGCATTACTTTTTAGTCTTATATTAAAGTTTTACCTCAAAAACATTTGCTGTAACTTTTTATAATGTAGAAGCAATAACACTTAAACTTTATTCTCAATACAGTGGTGTAAAACGACTATGCTCATGAAGTAAGAATACTTATTATTATAAGCCTAATAAAATAAATAAAAGTTAACATTTACTTACCTAAAAACTTACCATAGAACTATTCCTTGTATGTCTGCTTTGAGATTTTGCACATGCCACTAGCCTTGAGCTATCTTTCATCTAAAACACATTATAATGTGAACTGAGCTAGTATATCATATAATCATCAAGCAACAATACCCTCCACCAATGGTACAGTGACATATCCTCCATGCATAGTAGATCCCTGTAAGCACTTGCACTTAAAATTAATTTCATTCTTAGACAAGGTAAGAATAACGTGCACTGATAGTTGAAAGGAAAGGTGGGAAGATGCACAGAGAGGTAGTATCCATCGGATATACATTATCAAGAAAAGAAAATGTTAACTTCCGAAACAATATTTCTAATTCTCTGCACACAGTAGCTTGAATCTGAAACTGATGTGATAGATGTGATCAAAGTCCTTGTCCTGATGGCTGGGTTTAGAAAGAAGAGAATGCACTTCAGAAGCAGGGACATGGAGATGAGGCAAAGCTATAACATCTTCAACAGTCAACAAGCCTCCAGTGGCCACAAAGTAGGGGCAGTGTTAGCAACATTGCTAGAACCTCATGAGGAGGTAGTAGTCACCATCACTTGAGAATTCATTGTCATTATACCAGTTTGCCAGAGTAAATTTTTAGTTAGTTAGTTAATTAGCTATTTAGTAGCAATGTAGCTTGAAATCAAAGTTAAAATAAACTACAAGGAAACCAAAGAAAGTTAACACTGTGAAAAGGAAGGCAGCACAAATTTCACAAAATTGATTAAGTTTAAAGTCAAAGAAACGCATCCATTAAAGATAGAGCCAAGGATAAGAATGAAGTTAATTTTGAGTGCAAGTACTTATGGGGATCTATTGCATATGGAGAAATGTCACCCTAATACTGGTGAAGGGTTATCGTTGCATGATGATTACATCATGCACTAGTGCAGTTCATATTATAACATGTGTTTTAGGTAGGAGATAGCTCAAGACTAATTGCATGTGCAAAATTTCAAAAAGTAGATTGGCAAGGAATGAGTTATGTGTGAAAAAAGAGGTAAGAATATTGTTTCAGAAATCATATTTGACTGCAGATGTTTGTTTATTATATCAATCCAATGAAAACAAAAATAGGAGAAAGGGGTGAAATATAAAAAAAAATCTAATGATACTGCTTGCACATCCTTCACCGTAGAGCGGTGCTGTTTCTCGCCACTCTTCTTTCTGAGATGCTTCAAGAACTTCAGCAAGCAATATTAAAAATTGTTAACTTAAAAAAGGAGGAATAGGGATCTTCAAAAATACATACACAAGATGGGTAGCTTAAAAAGAAAATGAAACTGCAAAAAAGAGTAAACAAACAAGCTTAAGGTTTGAGACATAGGGTTGACATTATTATTTCAAGCTACAAATGCCTATTTTGACTCCATGTCTAAAAGCTATAATACTTAGGAGAGTATAATGTCAACACTATGTCTCAAACCTCAAGCTTGTTTGCTTTTTTTTGGCAATTGCATTTTCACTTTAAGCTACCTATCTTGTTTTTGTATTTTTTTTTAAGTATCCCTATTCCCTTTTTAAATTAACAATTTTTAATAATCTTTTTCTTTAGTTTTTTTTATGTCCATCATGAACATAAATCTGTTTAATAGTCCTATTTGAAATACATATGATGCCCTCCCTAGAAACAATGACAACCTTTGGATTGGCTTCATGCAGTTTGGATGGCTATTGCTCCTAATATCATTGCCACAATGTTATCATTGATAGTGGAGCTGCATGTATGATCACTAAGATGTATGGAGATCAACATACCAGATGTTATGTACATGCTTGTCAAATATATATATAGCTACTATATTCATACCCTGTAGCTATATGGAGAGCCTGTAAACACAGGATTGGAGGGACTACTGAATTATACTCGACTAATGGTATGGTGCATGGACTGGATTTTGTAACTGCATGAGTTTTATACATACATGCACATGTTGGCTAGTATTTATATCTATCAATCTATCTGTCTATCTATTTATCTATATATATACACACACACATATATATAGATAGATATCCATATGAATTTTTCAAGTTGTATAGATACATACATATACATTCAATGAGAAAAAATTCAGTAATATCAGCAAAGTCCAAAAACAGTTCAACAGTACAAATCAAACATATTTCTAACTGAAACTACTTCAAAACAATGGGTATGCTGTGTATTCTTTCATTTCAAATAAATAAATAATCATGATTTCACTTCAGAAAGGTTAAATCACAAAATCTGCAAATATTTCAATTGCTTCAACTGCAAAATGTTCCTTCATCAACAACATTTAAAACACTGGATTCACAATGTTTCTTACTTGCTGCAATGTAGATGATTTAACAACACTATGTTTTTCAGTGAAATATTTCAGCATGGGACCAAACCAAGCATATTCTTCAACAGCATTAAGAAATAACATAACATAGTGATTTCTACTTAATGCAATCTAAGATAAAAATTGTGGTCTTCACAGAACATAACACATTTAAATGTTACAGCTAAATTCTTGTACACAACACTAGGACACATAGTAAAATACACATAAACTTGCCCATACATAAAGTAAGACATGTATGTACCAATATATATATCTATGTCAACATCACATATTAACCAAACCATATCTGCAGTGTGTAACATTACCATTCAGCAACTAGTTTATAACCTTAGCAACCAGCATCAGTTGTTCTTTCTATGTTTGCTAAAGTGTATTCATGGCCTTTGGCAGCACCTACAGTTAAAACTCCAAATCAAATAATATCATGAAAATAAAATAATCATAGACATAAATAATCAAAAATGATTCTTCCTTCCATAATCATCCATCCAGATCACATTTCATGTTGTTAGCTGCAAAATACATGCACATACTCAGTCCAATGAAGAAGGTGCACAAGGAACAGCAGTAAAATTGATTGGGCCATCATAACACAGCAATCAACATGGGTTGCACCAAATTTTCTCATTAATACTGCCATTTTGGGATCATAAAAACCCACTATGTTACAGAAAAACATAAAAATAACCCACACAAAATGAAACATCAGTTGCCTGATTTTGTCAATTTCTCATGCTGTGTTAGAGCACAACTACTTTACTGCACCTTAGGAAGATTGATATATAGATGTACCAGACCATCAGACACAATCTTCACATGGCAACTGAAAACAAGAACATATCAGTTTGTACTTAAAGACATTCCTACAAGTCAATCTTTGCATAGCATTTACCACAAAAATTAACCCAAGTTCTTGGGAAGCAAGGACTTTAAAGTCCTTTCAGCATATTAGTTTTTCAGTTTCCAATAATCATCAACAGTAATTTTCCTAGGATATTATTTAACAATCAAATCTGTCACTGTTGTGTATTTAGCAAGAATTGCCTGATTTACTTCACAGAAATGCCAACACTACCCAGCTAGATAGATCTAGCAATGATCATAATACATTGGATATCTCAGAGCTGTGTTATTTATTGCTAAACTACCACACCTGCAATGGACTGCTGACCAAAAGATAAGTTTTGGACCACTTGGTGAAGCAATCAGCAATAACCAGCACATATCAATTAAAATTTTCAGTTTTTGAGAGAGGACCAGCTACATCAACGGAAGAACCCATAACTCTCCACCAAAGTTTTCCTTCATACGGTCAGTTATTCCTCTGGGCAGTACACACATATTATGTCTACACCATTGTTTAATATTTTTATGTGCATGCAGCCAGAAGAATCATTCTCACATGTTCTCAACAGTAAATGATGCTCTTTGGTGCACTCAAGTTCATGCATCATACAAAATTTAACCAGGAGGCATTGGGTGTTTTTCATCTAGTTCATAGTATGAGGAGGATCCCAACTATCTTCACCTTAATCCCAGGAAGTAGAAGGGAAAAGCAGCTTCCATTCTGTCTACCTAGATAGTGCTCATGTGTGCTGTCCCTACACATATCCAACAC